CGCTGCGCGGAGGCCCAGGAACCCAGCCCCGCGCCACCCCAGCCCGACTCCTCCCCAGCCCCGCCTCGCTCGCCTCAGCCCCTCCGCGCGTTTGCGTCGCCCTCCACCACCTCCTTCCCCTCGCTTCTTTCCACGCGCCGCCCGGAGCAAGCAAATAAATCTAGCAAGGCAAGGCGTACCCTAATAGGCTGGTGGTTGGAAAGCTATGGGCGCCCTGGCTAATTACAATCTCCACTCTGGGAGCGTGTTCTGTGGGCCTAGACCTTGCTAGGGAAGCTTTGTAGGCATTCTGTTTCAATCCTAGCACCTACTCTGAGAACCCATTTAACCGATGATGGAACTGAGTGCCAGGGAAGGTATAAGTGACTTGCGCAAGGTCACACAAAACGGGTAAGCACTAGTCCTTAGGAGAAGGAACTAGTCTCCAGAGTATGAGGGTCAACCAGGCCTTCTCTGTCTCCTGAGGATGCCTACTCAGATCTTGAGCGGCCCTCCCCACGCATGCACACTGTCCAGCCACCTTTGTCCAAGTCTTGTTTCAACAAGCTCTGCCTTCCCAGGGAGCCCAGCATCCGCGTAGACGTTGCTGTGTTTGGCGGCACAGCCAGGCAAGGGTCCCTGCCAGAACAGCAAGCGGCTCAGCATCTAGGTTTCCAGATGGAGGGGTCCTGGTGGCCAGATGCCAAGCTCAATTCTTGGGTTCATGTTTTGACTCCTACCCCTAACCCCAACTGCCTTTCTTAGCTCCCCGTGGCTGGTTTCCTGCCATATGGGTGGCACTTGTCACACTGTCTTCCATGTAGTAAGTGTTCAATAAACATTCACTAACATGAATGAATGAACGTTCATTGCCCACTTTTGGTTCACTTGGTGCTAAGGGGGGTGGGGGTGGGGGGCCTACGGTGACCCCAGACCTGGCCTCTTAGCTCAACATCTTTGAGAGGTCCGGCTTCTGTCATAAATCTGTCTTTAGCACTCAGCTCCATGAGGCACATGGTCTATTTCAACACAGGGGTGCAGAACGTGATACTTGCCAGCGTTTTTTAAATAAACTTGTAACAACTGGTAATGAGGTGGGGCACGTGGAGAAAGCAGGATACCAAAAAAGCTTGTGTGATATACAGGGAGGAGTCTGACCTGGAGCATTAGAAGAAAGGCAGAGACGCCTAGTGTTCACGTGGCTGCCAGCCGCCAGAAAGGTCTGAGCAGAAAGGACGAGGTGTTGCAAACACTGACAGGGTTTTGGAAGGTGGGGAATGGGAGCAAACCCAGGAAACTGTGTAGGTGTGTGGAAGATGGCCCTGCCCACAGAACACAGAGCTTGGTACTGGTGCTGTAAACAGCCGTGTTGCATCGCAAGCCTCCTCTTTACTACCTGTGGAAATTTAAGCAAATTACTTCACCTGTTCTGTGCCTCCATTTCATCTGTAAAATGGGGGTAACCCCAGTCTACATCACAAAGGGATTTGGAAGACTGCATGAGTTAACCTTTGTAAAGTCCTTAGAATAATATCTGGCATATAGTAAGCTTTCTGTAAATGTTAAATAAATATGGAATGTTACCAACATCATTTCCTTAGAAACAAATTTACAGTAATATCTAGCCCATCCAAAGGGAGTGTTGTTTGTATTCTATTTTTTTATTATTAAAGATTTATTTATTTTTTAGATGGGACTACATTAAGTTAAAGAGCTTCTGTACAGCAAAAGAGACATTACAAAAAACAGACAGCCCACTAATTGGGAAAACATTTTCTCACACAAAAGTAGTGATAAAGGACTGATCTCAAAAATATACGGAGAACTGATGAAACTCAACAAAAATAAACAATCCCATCAAAAAATGGGCAGAAGAGCTAAAAAGACACTTCTCCAAAGAGGAAATGCAGATGGCCAACAAGCATTTGAAAAAATGTTCAACATCACTGGAAATTAGGGAGATGCAAATTAAAGCCACAATGAGATACCACCTCACCCCAGTAAGAACGGCACATCTTCAAACAACTAGCAACAACAAATGTTGGCGAGGATGTGGAGGAAAAGGAACTCTCCTGCACTGCTGGTGGGAATGCAAACTAGTACAACCACTATGGAAACCTGTTTGGAGGTTCCTCAAACTGCTAAACATGGAGCTTCCCTAAGACCCAGCAATCCCACTCCTAGGTATCTACCCAAAAGACACAAAAACACCCCCATGTTTATTGCTGTTTTATTTACAATTGGAAAAACATGGAAGCAGCCCAAATACCCAAAAGTAGATGACTGGATTAGAAAGATGTGGTACATATATACAATGGAATATTACTCAGCAACCAAAAAAGAGAAACACGTGTCTTTCGCAGCAACTTGGATGGAGCTGGAAAAGATCATGCTTAGTGAGATAAGCCAGAAAGAGAAAGAAAAATACCGGATGGTTTCGCTCATAGCAGGAGTATAATGGACCAGGCAAGAAAATAACAAAAATAATGAGCAACCATATACCAGAGACATTCTGTGGGGGTGGAGTGGGGAATGGGATCAAAAACTGGGGGGTGGGGAGGGAAGTGCACAGGATAATGGTGATGGCACACGGGTGACTTGGTGATGGGAAACCCGCGGGGATTACAGTTGAGATGGAAAAAAAAATGTACAAAATGATGTAAAAATAAACTGTTATAAAATAAAGATTTATTCTTGTTTACAGAACTAGGGTACAGGCCAGAGGTGTGGTGGTGAGCGGATTCACCACAGACAGAGTGAGGAGTAGAGCAGGCAGTAGGCGGGTCAGGGGAGGTCTGCCATGCCATGTGGGTCAGCTCCCTGGCTGGGGATCAAACTCATGCTGTAGAGAGCTTCTTAGTGTGGTGCTTGAACCCGCTGCACCACCAGGGAGAGCCCTGTTTGTATTCTTTTAAAACAAACTCATTCCCTAGTTTCAGTGCAAGTAAAAATAAACTTTCCATCTTCATAATATAAAGAAAATGATCATTAGAAGATTTGATTAGAAATATTTTCTTAGAAAATACTGAATCCCGCCAGCAACTCCAGCATGAAGTCTAAAACAGAACACTTCATTTCCACCTTCCCCTAACTGCTTCTCCTCCAACTATCCCATCTCAACAAAGGACTGCGAGCCCACTGGTTTGACCAAAAACTCTAAGACCACCCAGGACTCCTCTCTGCCACAAACCCTGAAGCCTTGCAGCAGCAAATTCTGTCTTCTCTGCTTCCAGAAGCACTCAGAGTCTAACTACTTGTCTGCTTGGGGAATCCCAGTTGCTAACACCTGTTATCTGCACCACAGCTCTCCCCTCCTCACCTACTTCTTTTTTTTCCCACAGTCTGTATTCTTCACTGGGCAGTGAGAGTGAGCCTTTCAAAGATGTGTCAACTCATATCTCACCAGGCTCCTCACCTACCAGTGACTAAGCCCCAAAGTCCCACTGCTGGCCTGGAAAGTCCTACCTGCCTCCCACCCTGCTCTCCAGCACCCTCATTTCCTCCCTGAGCGTGGGAGGCAGGGCATGTGCTGCCTCAGGCCCTTTGCAAAGAACCGTTTGCTCTAACTCTACCCACCCCCCCACAGCACGGATTTCACTTCACTTGGGCAACCATGTTTCCCCTCCACAGATCGCCCAGCTGACCATCCTGTTTTATATGGCACATTCCTCATGTCTCACCTCTTTATCTGTGGCTATTGCGCTTTCAAGTTCTTCTCACTGTCTCGTCAAATTATCTGTTTCCCTGTTTATCATCCATTTGACTCTGGATTATATACTCACTGAGATCAAAAGTTCATGTCTTGTTCACAGGTATCTCTAGTGCCTACAGCTTCACCTGGCACCTGTGAGACACTACAGTCACATATGTTGGACAAGTGCCTATGTGGCTGTCAGATAACTATTACGTGGATTGCATGAGTTGATATTTATAAACTTCTTAGAGAGGTGACAAATGCCATGTATAAGAAGGGCTTAGGCCTTGGAGAGGCAAGGCCAAGTATGGCCCTCAGGTTGCTTATGCCTGTGGCCTGCTGGTTGGGGACATGACTTGACAATGGCAATGCAATGGGGGGTTGGGGTTGCGGCTGTGGTGGGGAGGCTGCAGAGATGACTTGGGAACAGAGGAAAATGTTGAAATCAGAGTGGGAAGCATTTGAAGATGTGCTGAGAGAGAAGTAACCTGAACCCAGGTTCTGTGTTAGCTGTTGTGAGCTAGAAGAAAGGGGAATATTCTAGAGAGGAGGCTAAATCAGACTAACTCAAAGTGGAAGAGGCCATGGTATGATAGGAATAATTGAGACTCTTCAAGCAGGCATTTTGGAATCATCACTCAGGTTCCTATATGGCCTGTGGGTTTCAGGGCAGCACCCCTAACACTGCCCTATGAGAAAATCACAGTTACCAAAGGTTGAAGAAAGGTGGGCTGTACAGAAGTGGCTGCTGTGGGCATAAAGACTCAGGCAGGTACATGAA